AGCCTGGGTCTGCTTCTTCCCCCAGCGCTCCCAGAGTGGTTTTCCACTCTCCTTGGCTGCTATAGAGGTTGGGACGGACTCAACGTTTCCCGTGCCTCAAGCGCCGTTCACCGGAGTGGACGCCCCATGGCAGATAGAAGTTGCGGCCCAGAAGTCAACATCTGGGGGAGCCGATATTCCTTACCTCGGCGCCAGGGTACGAGAATTCGAAAGAAGAGGGTATAGAGAAAGAATTTGCCGAGTAGGGGCGAAAGAAACAAAGGTTTGTGTTCGGACCAACAGGTCATCGGGCCCGTAGATCGACAGGCCAGACTTCGAGTTGGGCCGCGCAAGGTCTCCTAAGAACGCACACCAAGAACAAAACAGACGGATTGTCGGGCCCGCGAGTATGGCGAGCGGGGTAGATTTGAACCGAAAGGGCCCGTTAATTCGGTCCCTTGTCGTTGTCGGTGATCAAAGGTTCGAATCGGGTCGTTTCATCGCGTCATTAGGCGCAGAAGGTGTTTGAAGAACTCCTTAACCGGAGTGAACAAATAGAGCAGGTTTCAACCTGCTCCCAGGAGTTTTAACGCGAAGGGGCAGGCTCCTCAACCCATAGGACGAATGGAGCAAGACTTGTTGGCTCCCAGGAGTTTCAAGACAAAAGGGATGACTCCTCAACCCATTGGACGAAGTGCCGACACATAGAGTGGTCGTTCAGCACAGAAAGGATGCTCCAAGAACTTGAGCTTTCCAGAGAGCGCCCCACACTTGAAAGAAGGACAGTAAAGGAGGTTTAGCATTCTGTCAGGAACAGGGCCGGCCCGGGCCCACGTGACGGTCTCCTGCCAGTCTGACAAGTGTGGGAAAGATGGTTCAACCCCCATAGCTGGGTGGTCGGCAACCAGGCAGCGTAGATGGTGCCACTACTGCAATAGAGCAGGGTAGGGACAGCTCGGGGCGACTCGAGACGCCCCGCTGTCACGTTGTGTGACAGCGGTGTCACAGGATACGAGTAGTCGTCTAGAGTTTCCTACCCCTGCTGAAGGGAACGAGTCCATAGCCAAAGATCGCTGCCTAGTAGAGTTGGTGCCCAAGACATAGGGCAAGGCATAGGCTGGGCCAGTTGAACAAGCCGTTCGGGCGGGGCGTGACGTAACGCGGTCACGCCCGACGGTTCGGGGGTCGAGGGGAGTCGCCCCGCAACAGGGGCTGCGGGCCCGAGACCCCTGGAGCGCTTGAGAAGGGTTGCCAGTCCAAGGGGCGACATATCTCCTTTCCTGGAGTAACGAGTCGCTGTGGCTCCTAGACACCGCGTGACGGCGCGGTGTGACGCGTGACATGCGGGCCCGATGGGGCCCGCACCCTCCCATCGCCCCGTACCAGGGGAACCCAGAGCTTGAGGCCAGAGAGCAAGAAGAAGTGGCTAGGACAAGGGTGAACATAAGAGACAAGAGCCTGAGCTGTCCAGCCCAACCAAGGGCTCAGGTCAATGAGGCAAGCTAGCCTGGGTGTTGGAAGTCGTCTAGACGCCCCTTTCCCGGGGTATGGTTGCAGCAACCCCGCTCTAGGGGACCAGGCCGGAGTAGGGTTCAAAGGAAGAGACTTCAATGCTAAACCTAAGGTACAGGAGTAATACTCTGGTCTTTATATACTGTGGGCGCTAGGGGCCGATCGGGCCCGCTGAGGGTCGATCAGAAGGGAGCAGGGGATGTCTCTGGTCGTCCCTGGTCGCTCCGCTAGGAGCCCAGGGACCATTCCTCTGGAAAGGAGCCATGCCAAAGTCGACACTAAGGAGTGTTTGGCAATGCAACAGTAAGGAGCTCCCTCCTGATCCCTGTGGTTGTCTAGGGCCGATTGGGCCCGCTGTCAAGGGCGTCCGGCGGCGCATCATGATCCCTGATGGCGGGTCATGATGGCTTGATGGCTGACTAAAGCGCGATCCGTGATTATGTCCCTTCTCTGGGATATTAGTGTTGTTGCTCATTGCTTTGAGCTTGTGAATTATGAGGGCTTGTCAAGCCCTAGGGCTCTAAGGGTGGTGAGGGCCCGATGGGCCGTATAGGGCCCGTTGGCCCGACCCGAACCCTGACAATTTTGTCAGGTGGAAAGGCTACGATGCCTCACACGACTCGTGGGTTTGGTTCGACTGTGTCTTTGCGCCAGACAAGATTGCGGACTTCTATCGGAGATACCCAGGTAAACCGCGACACATCGCCTCAGCAACCTTCGACTCGCTGCCCTTCCGTATTATGCGTTGGGACGCCGCATTCAAAGGGGGGGGTGATGTCAGGGGAACCCCCGCTTCGGCCTCCTTCGGACCCTCCGAACGCATCCGAGGCGCATCCGACCGGCGCCCTGTCGGACGCTCCGACCCACCCCGACCATTGTCGACGGCCTCCTTCGCCCGCACAATCACCGATCCGTCAAGACCCCCCCAACGATCACCTTGGGACAGAACCTGCGACGCCGCTCAGGCCTTCTGCGCTCTACGTCGGCAGTTACGGACGACCAGTATATAGTTGGCGCCCTAGCAGGCGGACCCTTAGAGTTTCTTCTCTTTGGATCCTCCCCTGCTAGGTCGGTCCCTCCGTGTATTTCCTGTAGTCTTATTCACGCTTTGGATCCTCCCCTGCTCGGCTTTCGTCGGAGTCTCCAGGGTTGCCCTTACAGACTCATCGTTAGAAAACATGAGCAGGCTGCAGGGGTAGAAGACGCACAGGAAACGCCCAGTCGTGTAGTTAAACAGGTCGCTCTTCAAGTCCGTCATGAGGGACTTTGGGTCCACCATGCTGGAGAGGTGACGCCATTGCTGAAGATTGTTTGTGGAACTGCAACAAGGTAAACAACAAGGATGTATCGAAGAGGAAGTGTTGAATTTGGAGAGCCGGAGGGAGAGTGTTATTAGCGAGCTCCAAATGTGAAACATGCTGAATGAAGTGCAACTTGTAGCTTCGGCGCCAGGGGGGGCACTTTTGTCAAACTAAATCATGGCAATTCGCGGCAGAGAGTGATTTGGGAAGATGAGCTTGTTGAAGTGCTAGGAATGCACGGTGACGGACGCAAGAACAATTTTTTCCTCTAACGCGCTTCTGCTCTAACCCCATCAAATTTCCTGATCCATTCTTGTTGGTGTCGCATCTCCGCTGTGCCGTGGGCATACTGTCATCCTCTCGGCATTGCACCAAGCCTGCTTATCGAGCACATCACGATAAGTACATTCTGGCTGGCTGGAACGGTCACTGACACTTGTCGTTACCTCTAGAACTTGACCCTCCTACTTACGACCATGACAGAGTCAACGACATCTAGTAAAATCTCCATAACCATAAACTTCGTTCCTCCCTCCACCGCAGACTCCGACCCCGCATGTGAAATCCGTGCGGAAGCGCTAACACAGAATCCAACTGGGCCAAAAGACCACTATGACCAGATGCTGGTCATATGCGCTTCCACTATATATAGCTGGTACACACATTTGCATGCATGTAACAGTGCCTCCCCCTTAAGGCACTGAACCCTTGAAGTGCAGGAATGTCCGGAAAGGACCGAGATTGGAGTTGAAACTCCCAGAAGGGGATGGAATTCCCCACAGATGCCCGGAAGGGGCCCTGGCTGAAAGGCCAGGTTTGCACTCTCAAATGCCCAATTATAGATAGTAAGCCCCCAGACAGTCCGCACTGCCTGTAAGCCACTATGATTCAACCTTGCACGGACTTATGAAATTCAGGTTCCTCAAGTCTGAATTTCTGCCACCTGGGGAATTGAACCGGCAACCTTGTTATCTGGTCATACTGTGAAATCCGTGCGGAAGTGCTAACACAGAATCCAACTGGGCCAAAAGACCACTATGACCAGATGCTGGTCATATGCGCTTCCACTATATATAGCTGGTACACACATTTGCATGCATGTAACACCGCATTAGTAACACGTGTAACCGAAATTATCAACGCAGCATACGCAACGGAAGCAGACTTATTCATCGAAGGCTACCGTCGCGTCGATGAGGAGGGTCTACGCCAGATTATCTGCGCGGGGGAGCTCATCGTTGCGTACGGGGAGAATTCTCTGCCTGTTGGCTGTATCCGACTATCGCACGTGCCCAGAGTCTCGGAAAGCGACATCGACGCATACGAGGAGCTGGGTTACTTGTCGGCCGACCCATCAATGAGAGGCGCGGGAATCGGCAAGGTGCTTGTTACCTTCGTAGAAGAGCACTGTCGGCGCAAGGGAATGCAGGAGATCCAACTAGCGCTGCTGGTCCTGCTGTGGGTTTTGCGAGGGTGGGCACCCCTTCAAGAAACGCTTACATGAGTGGTATCTGCGATTAGGCTACCGGGTAGTGCGGGCGGAGCCCCTCACAAAGAGTTACCCAGCTCTGGCGGCGCAGTTGAGGGGCGAATGTGAATATAAAACTTATAGGAAGACATTGTAATCCGCCTTCAAGTTGGATGTTGCAAATAAGTCTTTTATTGAACACAATAAATAGTGGGTTCCCTTCAACTGCATGATCATCTGAGCATGATCTGAGCGCTCCAGTTCAAGTACCATACGGGACGCGGCTGGCTAGAAGACGGCTGGCGTTTATGGAAACACTATTGGGGTTCAGTATTTCAAGAAGTAACCTTGACCAACTGCTCCATGTCCGAGTCTGTGACTGCTAGCGCTCACCGACGTTTAAGGCACGAGCGCAGCGGTAACGGCCCCTCCTGCATTACAGCATGGCAACGCACCATTGTCGGGGGTGTTGGTGTGCGTTTACCGCGAAGCGGGATGTACGAGTTTTCGACCTTCACGTCAAGCGCCAGCTGCGACAACAGGGCGGCGAAGGTGGGGAGGTGGGTCATGTATTCATCGCGTTTGGGAATAGCGGGGTAGGTAACGACTCTTGTGTTATAATAGATGAGGTTGTCGTTGTCGAGACCGCGGTAGGTAGGCATGACTATTTGGATGGTTTGATTTTATGCGTGGATGATGGTGGTTGGTGTGAGAAAGGGTGTCAAAGAGGTGGGTGGATTTTATAGACGAAGAGGTCTGTCTTGCGGGATCAGCTCTTGGACCACACGAACATTGACGCTGTTGCCGATCAGACGATACTTGGTCTTGCGTGAAATCGTTGTTGGCCAGATAAACCGGGGTGGAGTATCAAGAGGAGAGAACGCAAAGAGGCGGAGTAACTTGTTGGGGGAAAAGTATCTCAATCGAAGTGGATCGAGCGTTCGAACGGGTTCGTTGTGGGTAGACCTTTGTGCGAGGGATGCGTCGAATACGGTCGTTGTCTGCAATAGAAATCAGAACGAAGCAGGACACCAAAAGAGCCGCTTACGTCGAGTGCTTCGTTCAATTGCAGGATAGAGCCAGCCCTTTCGATGAGTTGCGTGTAGCCCCGAGTAAAGCAGCACGTCCGCTGAGAAGAGGGGAGGACGATGTTGAAAAGCCTTCCCCACTTGAGTAAGACTTTGTCGGGAATGACACACTTCTCATCAATCTCTTCGTCCAAATACTCTCGAATTTCGCCCACATCCACCCAAGGCTCCTCTTGCCCTCGACCAGGGATGAAGTGCAATGGCCCTGATTCAAGTTGACCCGAGTGTTTAAAAGAACATGGGGATCGTTTGGCCAGTAGATAGTATCTCAGACGGGAGTTGGGAATACCGAATTGTAAGGGGGTCAAAAGGAATTCCGCTGTAGTATAGCCCAGTTTCTCAAAAGTTGGAGATGAGAATCTGATGCGTAGTGGAGGTCTGTAATCTGTCAAGGTGTGTAGACAAAATGGTCACCCATATCTATCTACCTTGGTCTACCTGGATCAGTTCCTGGTTAAGCACTGACCAGTCACAGGTCAGTGTACGGTCAGCCTTGATATTGCCTGAAGACCTAATCTGCGCTTGATTGGGAGTGGATCAGGCCGAATCAGGCAGTCAGGCCTGATCGAGAGAAAACTAAATTTGTGACAAACCCTGCACGAGGCTCTGCGCGATTCACTTCAGCATGCCATGGCCTTGGTATTAGAAACCGCCACTCACACCGTGGCCGGGCGCTCTGGAGACGCCGCCTGGCGCATCGGAGTGTAAGTAACTTGTGAGCCTCGCGTGCGCGTGGCGCTACCTCGACGCCAGTGCATGACAAAAGGTGTCTCAAAATGGCTCTTCAGACACTATATACCATCAGAGTATGTACGGGGAAGCAATGGCAGCATCGCCGGTAGATGCTGGGGAGGCCGGAGCACACCGGTCGATGTCACCGGAATCGTTGTAAGCACATCGATGGGAAATGACTACAGCACGTGCGGCACACGGAGGAGTCGAGTGCACGGCGACAAAGAAAAGAGAAAACCTTTCGGGAGTGTCCCACGCCATTACACGCCACGCTATGGCCATCAGTGGCGTGCACGCCCGGCGTTTGGCAGGCGCACGCCATTTGGCCACACCACTATGCGAGCTCTGGGTGTTGGCCTTCGCGCCAGTCACTTTTCTGGCAGGCAAGAGAGCAGTAGATTCGGATGTGACAGGAAGAGCACCGGCGGAAGATTGCACGGTTGTCGATGCAGCCGCACTGCAGGTAAATAACACAATCAGCAAAACAGGTCTATTGTCGGGGAAGAGGCTTACCGGTGGGTCATCACAGGCAGACAGTCGAAGGAAGGGAGGCTTGTATTTCAAGGCAAAGAGAATCTGTTCTTGGTAAGCCACACTCCTCTTGAAATTGTCCCAGATTTCATTCAGTCTTGCGTCAGGAGTGTTCTCCAGTGGCAAAGTGGCGATTGCTTTGATGGACTGGGTGATAAGCAGCAAAATCGATGGGAAGCAGAGGCCGGCTGGCAGTTGCGTTTTGATGAACTCCGTGAGGCACAGCAGAAGGTGTTCATCTGGTAGGAACTGCGCCGAATGAAAATTTTGGGGAATAATGTTGGACTTGAGTGCCTTGCAGAGCGCATGGGGACTCGTTGAAACTGTTATAAGTATGAGATCGAGAGAGTATCGAAGCGTGGAGTGCCAGAACTCGTGTCCTGGATGGTCGGACTGAGAGACATCAGGTAGAGGGCCGAGAGTGCCTTTCAGTAGGTTCAGCAGGGTCACCTCCTTGAAAGCATGATGAGATGCGAGGCATTCCGCAAGGACCATGAGCCCATTTGGGCTCGCACTCCTGAGTACCTCGCTGACGAGGAGAGCCAGCTTGAGTGGTCTGGAGCAGTAAATGAAATGCATAGTGGATCGGGATTGGAGAGCGCCAACCAACGCCAGATGGGTCTGGATCAATCCAACCAAGGTAGAGACTCCATTCCCACACACATCCAAGATCTGGTCGAGCTGGCGGTGGTTAAGCTTCAGGGGGAACATGAAGACGAAGTCATTGAACAGCTTTATGTCCACCCCTGCCCACTGTCCGGGTTGGCCGATGACAAGTTCCCACAACGGTAGGAAGAGACGAAAATATCCAGGCGTCTGCTGCATCTTGTGAGATGGCCCTTCGGCGTCATTCAGGATACACCCTGCATTGTCGTTGCATTTGGCTTGCCATTTATGTTCCAGATTGACAAGACGATATCAGCACTGTGTGAATAACAACAGGACTGGATTGAGTATATACCTGACAAGACGATATCTACATAGAGTCATAAGCATATGTAAGATAGAGGAAAGCATGTAAGTAACTCACCAGCACTGTGTGAATAACAACAGGACTGGAGAGATGACAAGCTAGACTACTCAGTATATATACTCAGGCTAGCTATGCTGACTACACTACGTTAACTATGATTTATAAGTACGATGAGTAAGTAAAGGTAGAGGATGACTGAGCGAGTATTCAGTCCTTACCAAGCTCATTGGTTATTACCAAGCGGTCATGTGCAAGTATGGTAAGCGGATATGACTTCAACTTCAACACAGATTGGCTGTGAAGTGTCCCAGGGATGCTAGTAACGCCGTCCGGGAGGGCAGTATGCCGACAAGCTCTTCTGTCAGCTGGAGAGAGTCGTGGAAGATGTACAGAAAGTCCACCCAGGCAACGACAAAGACACCTAAGTCAAAGACCCCGTTAGGGAGTTCGCTGGTGCGCATGAAAAGATGCGGTAGAATCCAGAGCAGATGCCGAATCTGGGTCTTGTAACCCGAGATAGAGTCTCTAGTTCAGCGGCCAGCGGGATTCGAGATGGCTCCAGTATGGCAAAGAAAACGGCAAACAAACGGTCCCACAGTGTACCGTCTGCGGCCCGTTTCACTGGCAGGCGTGAGGGGCTGAGGGCCAAAGGAAAGAGCTTTCTGGAGGTCTTGTGAGTGTTTTTAAGCGCAATCTACACAGCTAATATCGTGGTAACAAGTCGAATGCGCTACAAGCACACCGGCACGCCCTGTTCACGGCCAGCGTTTTCAATTTGTTACTATCGCCTGCAGGCGTGCGAGCCAGCAACAAGCTCGAAATGAGTCCACCCGCTGCCTCGCGTCATTACGCTGCTGCCACGCCCTCTTGTTGACACCGATGGACAGCGACGACCTCTCAGATCCGGGCGTTGCGGGCACTACTGACATGAAACTCTCGATTCAATCTCGACTTGTCGCCATCTGTACTGTCTTATGAAGACACACGCGACTTGAAATTCCTACAGCAGACGACGCAACACAATGCCCGCTGGATACCCAGCCTGGAAGGCGTGGCATTGACGATGAAGGACCAGGATGTTATAGTGTACCACAGACAACAAAATGCTCATCCTTACTGATAAAATGAGTAAGTAAAGTGAATACATATACATAAGCAAGAAGCAACATAACAAAAGAAGATTTGGATTTGAGTCCACAGATACAAAGTCGAAAGATGAGGTAGGCAAGGCAAAGTGGAAGGGACAGTGAAGCACACATCTGTGGTAGTCAAGCCGGGGGAAACAACCGATGTACGCTTGAAGGACGGTTTGCTCGACACCCAACAATTTCCCGACGTCCAGTCCAGCCAGATCCAAGCTCGCGTCATATAGCCCTCCAGAGTGTCATGCGGAGGACTAATTGCTCGCGACAGATGTCAAGGAAGAATGTCGAGTTTGTGTCGCGCGCGAACGCAAACACTGATAAATGGGCTCGACCACGGCCATGAAAGCCCAAATGCGAGGTTTGGATTGGACGGTATGACATCGAGGGAAGGACATTGTCGACAAGGCGCAGAAGGTTATTGAGGATTCAATGGATCGAATTGACGTCGATAGTTTGCGCGAGAAACGAGGCTAATACAGCCAAGTGGATGACAGTGTCACTCCCGACATGCCTAACATCCTCTTCTGCATCCACAGAGTCGGAGTATACACCTGTGTTTCCGCAAATCTCGCTCCTCGCCCTGGAGACAAAGCTCATGCCGTCCGGATCGACTGCGCCCGTAAACGCGTCTAACAACGACCTAGCGCGTCGAATAGTGGGATGAAAAGAATTGGGTATGTAGCGCGAGAAGAGCGTGATGGAGGTGGAGATACAGTCGATATCGCGCTGGGTCGCGCGTACGGTGCGATACCTTGACGTCTTTGGAAGGGATGTCGCGCACGTGACTTCCATTTTTGGACGAGGCAATCTGGTGGGTGTGACTGTGTGGATGAGGAAGAATGTTGCGAGTAGGTGGGAGAAATTGCGTCCGCGGTTGGTTGATATCGCTTTCGGGGGCTCGACAGTCCGTTCGGGAGCGAATAGGCTACTAGATTGGCGTTTGGCGCAGGGGAAGAACGAGCAATGCCTTGCCAGGTTATTGGCTGCTTGTGGGTTTTTGAGACGCAGTCAGGTCCTCGGACGCTGTGACAGCTAGCCGTTCCCAACTAGAGCTCTTCCTCCGACACATAGATCCTTGTATTCTTGTCATTGTCATTGGAGTCGGATAGGCTGAGGCAGGAAGAGGGAGTAAGTGGTGCAATTCAGTAGAGAAAGTGCCGGAAAACGCACCACGACCACCGACAGCTCGCCTTTAGCCCCAGGCCGTCCCGCTTTTCCTCGTTTCCCTCCACTCCGCCTTGCACAGGAAGTTGGCGGCCTCCACCTGCTGTCGGCGCGTCACTGGTCCTTGTCGTGGGACCTGCGAGTATTTCCTGGCAGCGCAGAACTCGTAAGTTGGCGATATTAAATGTGCTGCTTCCGTTGTGGTCATCGGACGGGGATTTGAAGGGAATCTGTGCAGAAAAAGTGTCAACGAAAGAGAGGAGGACAAGGTCGTGCTTCGACGCACCATTGACACCAGCAATTCACGATCCTGCCACTAGGTTCCCGTCGCCCAAGAGCGTGCGCCCGACGCTGGTGGGAGCAGTAGTGCCGCTCAGCATAAGCAAGAAATAGAGTCTGCTGAGGCAGAGCAAAGTCAGCTAAAACCTCGCGTGGCGAACCGTGAAACGCACCTTGCTGGTCGCGTAGCTGGTGTACGATGAGTATATGAGTCGAGGAGAAGGGATGGACGGGTTCTCGGGGCCGAAAGGGATGTGGTGGAGGGGCGGAAGAAGAATGTGTCACGGATCACACTTTACCATTAACCGTCATGACAAACTGCTTTGTCTGTTCATTCAGCCCGGAGGCGCTTGACCTGCCTTCTGACTCTCAAATCGAAAACCTCCGCTCCATAACCCGCTTGAATCTGCCGACTCCTCCGGATATTCCTGCCAAACTCCAGGCTGTGGCTGCGACTATTGCCGACTATGACGCTCACATTGCTCGGCTTGAAGCACTGGTTCGGACGGCCAAGGAAGAACGCGCCCAAGCTGTGTTATACGAAGCTCAGTGCCAAAGCCTCCTGACGTCGCCTATCCGCCAGCTTCCCTTCGAGACTCTAGCCTACATCTTTGAGCTATGTGTACTCGTATCGCCTGCGGAGATGTGCGACACTATGGATGCAATCCAAGACTCTCAAGAGGCATTGGGGAAGGTGGTCAATCAAAACCTTCACGCTCCCATGCAAGTAAGTCTAATGAACGGTGGCATTGGCAAACGCTGATTCCCTCCAGGTTTGCTCGCGCTGGCGGGAAGTAGCACTAGCAACGCCAAGTCTTTGGAGCCAGCTTATTGTCAATGGCCGTCTTTTGACTATGTCAACAGCTGTGTTGGAAACCTCCTTGAAGTTGGTTGAAACGGCTTTGTCTCGAGGCGGTCGATATCCGCTGATTCTCCAGGTCAAAGCAATATGGGCCTCCATCTGGACGGATAGCGCTGGATATACTCATCTTTGGCGCTTGCTAGAGGCACTCATAAAGCAATCACCACGGTGGAGGGACATCACTCTGGATTTCAACGCCAAGACAGTGCCACTGCTTGCTCCTATCCAAAACCGTCTAGACTGCGTAGAAATCCTAGATATTACCACCCCGAAATATTGGCAGTCGCCACCCTCCCCCCGCAATCGACTATTTCTCGAATGCCCCGCGGCTACAAACGGTGCTGTATACCGGACTGGCAAATTCCATCATCGCTCCCATGGAGCCAATTGCAACACTTCTCGTTCTACACACATAAGACGGCCTTCGATCCGGCCCATCTCCGCTTTTGCGCCTGGACAGCCTTCCATCTGGCAGCACATTACTGCTGGACTTATATCTTGGGCTGAATAACAACCCGCCCGACGGCGCTGATACAGCCGCAAAGGGTGGCGAGTAAGCTGTTGACACTGCGGGTTCGGACAGCGGACATCCCAGATACCACCCACAGTTTGGGACGCGTGCTCGCTTCGCTCTGCTTTCCCGAGCTGACGCGATTGGTACTGAAGCTTACTGAAGGAACATTCGCCGGTGACAACGATCCACCCATGTTGGAACCAAGCGGAATTCTGCAGCTTCATCCAGCGTTCGAAGCTCGGACAATCTCTATTATCCCTCAGCATCGACCTACCTTTAGCGACAAGCGACCTCTGCAATGTTCTTGCACAACTTGAAGTTCTGGAGGACTTGTACCTTGTCGACTCGTACGAGACTCAGGCTGACCTTCCGCCACTCGTGACGGATGAGCTTTTGGCACGCCTCACACTTTACGCGTCGGGCAATGACCGTGTCGCTGACGGTCCCGGGCCGGCACTGGTGCCCCGCCTTGGTTTATTTTCACTCGCTGGTCGTTTCGCCTTCACGGAGGGAGTCTTGAAGAAGTTTGCACAGTGTAGGAAGCTGCATCTAGATGCAATCCACTCCGCATATCTCTTTCATCTCAGTTTGAAACTCACAACAGGCGTCCAGTGTCCTCTGGGCGAAGACCTGCAAGCCGAATTCAGGGAGTGGGAGAGGAACAATCAGTTTGTGCTTTTAATAGAGACACAATAGTTGGTATAACCTAGACGAGACGCAGGAAAGAAAATGATGTCATTGGGTATGTAGATACATGGAGGATAGCAATGAGCAACTCTCGACTGCGTACTATCCACCCGTCCACACCTCAATTGGCTGACCGTACAGCAGCGACAACCGCCAAAGTGTCTGCCCATATACGCCCGTTCGTCGGCAAGTGGTCAAGCA